ACTGCGCGAAAAAAATGAAGGCAATAGGAACCATTTTTTAGACACAAAGCTCCTGATTGTGCTTTCAAGTCGAGCCAAATTTTATACGACTGCCAGCTGTGCCAACTCATGACAGCACGCTCTATTTCATATTGTGGCCACAGCCTTAATGCGCCTAAGTGCTGCTGTAGCAAGCTTTTCAGTGTAGGCCCGATGAGGCTAGATAATGTGCTTTAGGTGTAATGCCCCTCTATCGAAAACCATAGTTTGCATAGCTTAGGCTGTCCGTTGCCAAAATACAACAAAACAACAACAAAAAGAGCCTAGGCTCGTTTCACAGTAGCTGTCGCTGTAACAGTGCTGTGATCGTCTGTTAACTAATCATCGAAGGTCGGGAAGTCGTGTAACTGCTTTCAGCCTAATTAACCGAAAGAGCTGGAAGATAACAATGGGCGAACGACGATTGGGGACGTCTTAGTTTGGTTGATTTAGTGATAGTTTGCCCATTCATATCTTCTGTTCTTTGCCAGTGATCATTAAGCTTAAACAGCTGACCGTACGCGGTGGACAATAACACTCATGAATCAGACTGAAAGCATTATCAAAGTATAGCGACCAAGTAATAGTAAACAAAAGTGAGAGCTGCTTTGTATTGTGAAGCTTTATCAATACGCTGTTTATAGGTTGCCTTGTGCGACTTTGCTTAAGAGTCTTGCGTGATGATTCGTTAGAATCAGCTATATAAGCTGCCTCGGAGAACATAGTTGCCTTAATATAGACGGCGGTACGGGTGTACACAATTACAACAACTACACCAACAGAGAAAAGTGAAATTGGATTGACAAGACGTGTTTTCATCCGCATTGAAAAAAAAGAATATTACAGCAGCCCCTAATGTTTTGCACCAAGCAGCCGCACCATGCCATTTATTTTCAGAAGCTTGGAGGTAGCAAATACTAATTATTTAACAGTTTAAGGTATTGCACCGACGAAATTAAAAGCAAGCATCACACAGTTCTGTGTCTCAGACTTGTGTGACACACGAACACAGTGTGTGTGTGTGTGTGTGTGTGTGTGTGTGTGTGTGTGTGTGTGTGTGTGTGTGTGTGTGCGCGTGTGTGTGTGCGTGTGTGTGTCACACAAGTCTGCGTTACAATGACAAAATCACACAGAATGTGGGTATAAGTACGCTCAACGGCGTCGAGTTGAGCATTGCCCTAGGACATTGTGGCTGAGCCAAAGGAGGGCTCCTTAAAAAATTGACTGTGTATCTCCGGGATTCGCTGCAAATGTCGTCGAAAGACAATATTTGCAGCTAATGATCTAATTCCCGCATACAACAAAAGAATGATCAGGATTAGACTGATCTAATATGAACGTCAGAATGAACAATGTCAACATTACAATGATCTATGAAAACATAGTTTGTTGGATATAAAAATCTGTTGTATATTGTTTACACTTATCAAGTGAGAAAGCTTACATTGACCAGAGTGTTCGGTGTCTGAACACCACGCTGTTAGAACATAAGATCTTTAGGAACAAATAATTATTCCCACCTTAAAGAAAACTGTTCTCAGTGTGGCTACTTGCCACTATTTGATGACACCACAGTGATTTTTCATCACGAAAAACAACCAACCAAGAAACTAGTTAAATCATTTCACATTAAGAATAGAAAGGCTGATGCGTTAGGGAATCACCGCTGTCATTAAGCCATCAAGAAGCCACCTTACTCGAAGGGCTTTAACAGAAAGTGCGTAGGATTACATTAGTAACACTGGTTCTTGTTGCCGACTTCTGTGCTCAGCACGTGCAAGTTCTACTTGAACGTCTTGCAAGTTACCCTGACCTGTACATTTTTACGGCTTCTTTACGATTACGTTTTCATTTCTTTGAAGTGTATTAGCCACGAGAAGTTGGAGTGTTGCCGCCTAGCGGATGACGTCACGGCACGGACTTGTCGATGCCTGCCTCGCCTACATAATTATGCGATTACTTCGTGCGCTGTTCGAATGTTCGCGTTCGCTTTTTGCTTGAATCAAAGTGCACATGAATAAAAAAAGAGAATTGGTAATGTTTCAGGTAAAAAACAATAAAAAAGATACTTTTGCTTCTGCGAAATCACGAGTTGGGTCGAATAGCAATGTGAAAGAAGTGAAAAGGCCTGTGTCATGCTGCTAACCCGATGATGGACTCAATTCGTGATCACGACAGCCGCATACTGATGGGTTTGAAAATCAAGAACAAGCTTCTGTTTAGATTTCATTTGATCGATATGTGGGGTCCCAAAACCACCATATGATTATGAGAGACGCCGTAGTGGAGGGCTCCGGAAATTTCGACTCCCTGGGGTTCTTTAACGTGCACTCAAATGTGAGCACATGGGCCTACAACAGTTCCGCCTCCATCATAAATGCAGCCGCTGCAGCCGGGATTCGATCCCGCGACCTATGGGTCAGCAGCCGAGTACATTAGCCACTAGTCCACCATGGCGGGGCTTCCGTTTAGATACAACAAACTCATTGGCGCATTATGATCTAATTTTGAGAAAGAATCACGACACCGTATTTACATTAATTATTAGATTTATATGTGCATGGGTAATTCCTTTCACAGACATCGGGGCTTCTCCTCCCCTAGAATAATTTGTACCGCAGGAATCAACGTATCTACTGACAGCACTTTCGCAGGTCTCTCAAGCCCTGCGCTCGCGTGCATGCAGTATCTAGGCTCCTAACATGTATCGGAATGCGCTCGCCCTATGGAACACCACCAACGCTGTTGTGAGTTTTTCTCGTGTACTTGCTCATTCAACACGTTCCCGCTGCGGTGGTCTAGTGGCTAAGGCACTCGGCTGCTGACCCGCAGGGCGCGGGTTCAAATCCCGGCTGCGGCGGCTGCATTTTCGATGGAGGCGGAAATGTTGTAGGCCCGTGTGCTCAGATTTGGGTGCACGTTAAAGAACCCCAGGTGGTCTAAATTTCCGGAGCACTCCACTAAGGCGTCTCTCATAATCATATGGTGGTTTTGGGACGTTAAACCCCACATATCAATCAATCAATCAATCATTCAACACGTTAGTTAGTTTCATGTTTCTCTCGCAACAATTTTGAAGCGTTAATTGACCGAAATCATTGAGGTCAAGTGTGGTTGAGGTTCGGTGTGGAAACTTCTATTGCTGTCAGATTCTCTCTTCGTGCAGCATTGTATCAGCGGTGCGGTCGCGTTCCTGACTACCAGTTTAGATAAGCACCTCACATGTTAAATTTCTTTGCAGTTTATCACCTGTTGGTGGACATGACGTAGGAGCCCAGCCATCGCCTCATCGAGGCGAATGTTGTTTAGTTAATACATAGGCCCAAAAGCCTAAACAGGCTGAAATTCTTTGCGTCTTTGAATTGGTCATTTTTCTCTCTGCAAAGGGAAAAATGTTGGTGGGTAAGGGACAGGTTCTCAGAGCCATCGCCTGGTCACGCCACTGCTAGGGCCAAGTCGGTGAGTGTGCCATGAAAAGAGTTCATTTCGACTTTCTGATGGTTGTGTTGAAATCTTTGCTGTTAGCGGTGCTCCCACGTGAAGCTCCCATTAGCTTTTGTGACGCAGCGGTAGAACACTCCAACACTTTACGAAGATCAGGATATACGACATAATCTCTGGCGACTGTTGATAAGAATCCAATACATATGATCCCAGTAAACGGAAATATCTCATATATTGCCGGAAATCGTTGTGTGTGCGGCAATATTATTTTGTTGGACGAATATATTAAGTGCTTATGACAGTCATATTCAAGTAATGTCTCCTGCTGGAGAAAGCGCAGTTCTGTCAAATCATTTAGATCATTCCCAGATGCAGGCTCAACTTGCCCCATAAAGCGCAAATATAATCAGTGAATTGAAAACGTCCCAATTTAAATGCTGATATTTGAGCACAGATATGTTATAAGCACGAAGTCTGTGCTTAGTTGTAATCTCGTTAGTACCACTTAGCAATAATTTTAGCACCCATTCCTTGGTGTACGCGATAAAAATAGCGAATGTCTTCTCCTGCATCACCGTTTTTCCAATAACTATTCCGTATGGATGAAAGTATGACTATCATAAGCTGAATTATGGAACCTTCTTACAGCTTGAAAACTTTCACTAGTCAATAAATCTTGCTTCTTGTATCTTGAGAAAATCGCGTCATAAAATTGAGGCGTAATCAAAAACGTATCGCAAAAGAGCGTGTGCACGGCGGGCGCAGAGAAAGAAGACAAGCACAGGCGGAACAGGCAAGTCCTTGCCGTCACGTCACATCGCCGTGACTACAGCGACGCCAGAGTTCGTTCTCGGCGCTAATAGGCTGCACATGCTTCGTTTTTTATCGCTTGAGCTTGCGCATATTGGGTTTTGTGGATGATAAAGCATGAATGTGATTTTTAAGCTCATTTTACACGTGGCGCCCTTATGTTATAGTTAAGTGCTCAAAATTTGATAATAGATAAGTTTTAGGTGCATTTTATTTCATTTCTGTGTCACTCGGGGTCAGCGTAGTTGCATATACACCAAGTATTTTTTGAAATATATTTAGTTGCGAATGTAGCGAGCGCCGTGTCCTTTGTATCTCTGTTGGCCACGTTAAAAAGTGCTTTATACAAACCTTACGGTAAAATGATCTTCGAAAGACGATAGCTGTCTGCCAGTCGTAATTTTTTAGTGCATAGCTTCGCATTTTAGTGCAACGTAAGCAATACTAAGGTCATCAAAATTACGTGTATATGTATTTTGTTGTAAAAGAGCACAGAACCTAATGTTTACGTATTAACGTAGTGTCTTAGATTTGCGTATTATTAGCTCTTGATAGACAGTGTTCACAAGTATGAACGTAGCCACCAGTTCAAAATGGCTGGGCCTTCAGCGAGTGCTTAAACTTAGGCCAGGTGGTTAAATTATGTGACAGACAGACGTACAGACACCAAAATTTTGGCGTTCAAGCATCCCCAAAAACACTATAGTCTTTAAAAAATAGACACGGACCGGCCATGTGCCTCACGAGCTTCTTGGAGGTGAGGTGGTAGACGGCAACCACCTTGTCGTCGGCTTCGGTGGTGCAGAATGCGTGCTGCGAGTCGGGTGCGGCCACCAGCTGACGGATGGGCGCTTGCAGTGTGAGCGAGAGCACCTGCGGCGGCAGCGCTAGGCTTAGCCATGATGTCACCGGCACCAGCAGCGGCGTCTTCGCTTGGCTGCACCAGCTGCTCGCTTGGCTCACCAAGTCTCCCAGCACCTTCGAGTTGCCATCTGTGGGACAGAGAACAGCTGCAACTCTCAGAAGTTGGACGCAGCGCAGCAAAAGGCACCGAAACTTTGTTCAAATTTTTAACGTGGCTCATACATATCGCCGAGCCTTTGTGCTTGAAAGGGACACTTAAGTGAAACAATTGGTCAGTTTAGACTGAAAACTCTACTGTCAAAATTCTAATGTCATCAATTTCCCCATCATGGCCCCATTATTAGAAAAGTGAATAGATTTCGATGTTTCATTTTTTAAATATCACGTTGAAACCTCTGCAGATGACGTCATGGATTAGGGAGTTTGGTTTTTGTATTTTGACAATATTAGATCAAAGAAATTTCCCCAAACTTGGTATGCTAAGTCAATGGCAGCCTCAGGGGACAATGTGCTTCAATTTTACTGATTAGAAACTACGCAGCACCATTAGATGCTGTCAAAAATCTATGATGTCCAGGCGTTTGGTGCGGAAACGTCAAGGCGATGTTGCCATTCCTTTTTTTTTTCTTTTTGAGCGTTCTCTCTAACACCAAGTGCATTCTTGCAGCAAGCGTGCTGATTTCAGAACTGTGAAAGAGTAATTTACAGATATGAAAAAAAATCGCTTTCCCTTTTAGCGTCTATCGAAAGAAAGGTGGCACCTCATGCACTGCTCAATACACATAGATTTACTTTAAGGCTCACACAGCAAACATAAGTTAAATAAAAGCAGGCTGATGACTGCCACCGGAAGAGAGACATGTATTACCTGTGTTGTTTTTAAGAAAGAAGAGTTGGATATATAGAAATAGCAGATGTAAAAAAAATCATTCAGAACCAGATGAAAGTTCACAAAGACTAAAGTGAAGAATGACATGCGAACAGAGTGCGGTAGCTGTAACAAACAAACAAACTAACTAACAAAATGCCGCAGACAATACCAGTCAGAAGACGCTTTACGTATAACGCGTGCAAGCATAAAATAACGTGGTGTGCTACAAAGAGGCCACCCATTCCAGCTTCTAGAAGTGCCAAGAGGTGATCACTTCTTTATGCGTAAGTGCCTATAAGACAAAGCCATTCATCGCGTTTCATGAACGACAGGTGAAGGCGACAGTATCTCATTAGAGAACTGGTCTACTCAGTGAAAACAGGATGTCCGATGTTCATGTACTCAGGTGTCTCGTAGGAGCTACAAGAAGCCCACAATGGATCGTCCACACATTCTTGTCGGCGTAAGCGTCCACACTACAAGATAGAGCTAACCATTCACTTGACCAACAGTGCTTAACAGAGCTGCATGGCAAGCTGGCATGACGTACATTGGAGGAAAAAAATTCATTTGTGACCCGCTGGCTAAGGTACTGTTCGACGGCACAACTATATTGAGCAGTCAGCAGAAGAGCCTCATCAAGTTCATAAGAAATTCTTGGGCAGACGCGTTTACCGTGAGTGCAACTGTGTGTCAATCTATTGATTTACGCTGGTACCTACGTACGAAGACGCGTCGTATCTCTGAGCCCTTGTCATTTGTGTATTTGGGCAGTAAACTTTCACATAATATTAACTAAGCGTAAATTAACGATGACTGTCAACCAAACATATTAACTTCAAGCTCTACTGAACAAAGCTATCCAGAAGTCAACGAGAGATGCCCCGAAGAATGAAGTTTCGATGTGTTGCTGGACTATTACAACTGGACCGCCAGCATGGCTCTTCTGCAGTTTGCTAAGACCAGGCCAGAAGTGGGAAGGTAATCTTCAGTATTATTAACTTGTTTAATAGATTATTCTGCGCAGCTCATAAAGAAGCTGGGAGAAGGGGATGGGATTCAATCTGTATTCTAAGGGAGTCCATGCTGTGGCGTCACCCCTCCTCTAGCTTTAAAAAAAAATGCGAAGCATTGCCTTGTGTACTCCAAGCACTTCATCTATCTATCTATCTATCTATCTATCTATCTATCTATCTATCTATCTATCTATCTATCTATCTATCTATCTATCTATCTATCTATCTATCTATCTATCTATCTATCTGTCTATCTATCTGTCTGTCTGTCTGTCTGTCTGTCTGTCTGTCTGTCTGTCTGTCGTCCGTCCGTCCGTCCGTCCGGCCGTCCGTCCGTCCGTCCGTCCGTCCGTCGTCTTTCTGTCTGTCTGTCTGTCTGTCTGTCTGTCTGTCTATCTATCTATCTATCTATCTATCTATCTATCTATCTATCTATCTATCTATCTATCTATCTATCTATCTATCTATCTATCTATCTATATATCTATCTATCTATCTATCTATCTATATATCTGTCTGTCTGTCTGTCTGTCTGTCTGTCTATCTATCTATCTATCTATCTATCTATCTATCTATCTATCTATCTATCTATCTATCTATCTATCTATCTATCTATCTATCTATCTATCTATCTATCTATCTATCTATCTATCTGTCTGTCTGTCTGTCTGTTCTGTCTGTCTGTCTGTCTGTCTGTCTGTCTGTCTGTCTGTCCGTCCGTCCGTCGTCCGTCCGTCCGTCCGTCGTTCTGTCTGTCTGTCTGTCTGTCTGTCTGTCTGTCTGTCTGTCTGTCCGTCCGTCTATATATCTATCTATCTATCTATCTATCTATCTATCTATCTATCTATCTATGTCCATCCATCCGTCCATCTGTCTGTCTGTCTGTCTGTCTGTCTGTCTGTCTATCTGTCTTTCTGTCTGTCTGTCTGTCTATCTGTCTTTCTGTCTGTCTGTCTGTCTGTCTGTCTGTCTGTCTATCTATCTATCTATCTATTCTATCTATCTATCTATCTATCTATCTATCTATCTATCTATCTATCTATCTATCTATCTATGTCTGTCTGTCTGTCTGTCTGTCTGTCTGTCTGTCTATCTATCTATCTATCTATCTATCTATCTATCTATCTATCTATCTATCTATCTATCTATCTATCTATCTATCTATCTATCTATCTATGTCTGTCTGTCTGTCTGTCTGTCTATGCGCTCTCGTAATCATACTTACTTGCATGGCAGTGGTACATACCCGCTCTCGGTTATGTGTTACTGGTATGCGGCTAAGTTCCACAGGTGATTGAAACTTCTTATCTACTCAGAAGCGGTGAAAACACACACGGGTAATTATAACGCGTTAGCGTTAAGAAAAACATGACATCGGCAGCGTTTACCCAACGAACGCATACAATAAATATCATGGTCTCAGCAGGAGGAGGAGGAGTAATGAAGGAGGAAAGACAAGGAGGTTAGCAGGTCGGTCTCAGCAGGAATCGAATCCCCGCACTCAGCGTAGCAATAAAATAAACTACCACAGAGCCATGCCAGGTCTCGGAACTACTTTAAAAAAGGACAGTAATGTTTTTCAAACTTCAATTGTGGTTGCAATAGTAAGACTACCCAATTTTATAAACATTACATACGTCTCCTGCCATACAGCCATTCAGTCGGACTAACGTCAATTGTAGTTAGGTAACATTCGCTGAAGTTGATTTATGTAGCAGTGTCCTTGGCTGCTATCTTTGCGGGCACCACCACTTCACATCAGCGTATCGTTTATGGTGTTATTACGCATCTTTTTGTTGGTATCGTTGCGCAAGTCAACCATCTCGTTATGTAAGCATCTGCAACTGTTCAACATATGCATATGCTTGCAATATCTGTACACATATAATCAGCGTCATTTTATGACCTGTGGTCAGTCAGTCAGTCAAGAACTTTAATATATGGTCCTGAGGAGTTTAAGCCACCAGGGTGCCCACGTGGGACATCCTAGCAGCCGCTACCGTAGGCGACGCCCGAGTCGGGGCTGGAACGTGGTGGCGTTCCGCCAGTTCTTGGGCCCTCTGGACTGCCTTAAGTTGGTTTCGGAGATTGGGGCTCCTGAGTGCCTCCTCCCAGTCGGACTCACTGGTGAGAGGTCCCTGAGGTAACGCGGGACATTGCCAGAGCATGTGCGCGAGTGAACAGTACACTTCTGTGCAATCTGGGCACTGTGAATTTATGTCTGAGTTATAATGGCTGAGTCGGCCCCGTGATGGGTACGATCTCGTTTGTAACATTCTAAAGGCTACTTCTTGCGCGCGTTCGAGTTTTGAATGGGGTAAAGGGTATCGGCTTCTGTTGTGTCGGTAGTGGGAGGTAATTTCATGGAAGGTGAGTAGTGGGTCATTAAACTGCACGTCTGGGCCCAGCTCTTCGGTGGCTGATTGATCGTCACGGCGGGTCAGTTCTCGTGCTCGATCATGAGCCATTTCGTTGAGGTTGGGTTGTTGTGGGTGAACGTCTTTGCCCATGTGGGCAGGGAACCAAGAGAGGTAGTGCGAGCCCGTATATTTCCGTGTTTGTAAAATGCGGGCTGCTTCTGGAGCGATGTTGCCGGTTTCGTAAGCCCGAATGGCGGCGCGAGAGTCTGTGAAGACATTAGTGAGTGAGGGGTCGGTCATCGCTAAAGCTATAGCAACTTGTTCGGCTATGGCGCTTGTTGATAGCCTAACCGAGGCGGCTGAGCGTAGGGCTCCGTCGCCATCTACTACCGCGAGTGCGAAAGAGGAGGAGTTACCGTATTGCGCTGCGTCGACGAATGCGGTAGAGTTGCGATTCGCGGCGGTACGGTTTAGGATCGCGCGAGCGCGGGCCAGCCGTCTGCCTTTGTTGTGTTGTGGGTGGACATTTCGCGGAAATGGGGTTACCATGTAAGTAGCTCGGACAACTCTGGGGAGGGTTACTGCGCGTTCAAGGCAGGGGTGTGGGGACATGCCGGCCTCGCTTAGAAGTCGGCGGCCTGCCTTGGAGGAGGAGAGGCGGATCACTTGGGCCGTGGTCTGGGCCTCGATCACTTCATCGATGCCGTTGTGCATGCCTAGTTGGTCGAGACGGGAAGTGCTCGTGTTTTGAGGCAAACCAAGGACTTGTTTAATGCTTTTGCGCATGAGTGTGTTTAGTTTCGTCTTTTCTACCTTCGTCCAGTTGTGGGCAGAGGCGACGTAATTGATGTGACTCATTAGGAACGCGTGGTATATGCGCA